AATAAATTATAAAGGTTACAAAATCTATTATTWAAAAAAAACACCCTTTCATAAACTCTACTGAATTCATAGAGCTCTAAACTTGCAGTTTTATTCTGGGGTCGCTGTCATCAGCCAGGGATCGTTCATGTTTAATTTCTGGACCACCCTGTTCTCTGGCATGGTCCACGTTCCTCTCTCATTGCGGATGTTGCCCACTTGAATTCCTATGGCTGTTGTGCAGTGCCACAGAGCCCTGAGACGGACGTGTCCCTCCCCTGGACCAGCGCTCTCTCAGTTGCTCTGCCTCCTGCTTGCCCAGCTCGGCACTGCTCTGCTGAGCTCTTTGTCTCTACCTCACCCCCTTCCTCCACTCCAGTGGCGGGGCTGGCAGCCTCCCAAGGCCTGCCCAGTAAGCAGCTCTTCTCCTCCCTGAACAGGACTCGTTACCAGAGAAGCTGGCTGTTCATGAGAAGAACGTCCGAGAATTTGATGCCTTTGTAGAAACCCTGCAGTAAAGTGTCCTCCAGTACCAGCAGCATCCCTTTTCTGTGGTCCCAGGGGACAGAGAGCCTCCCACTCCTCAGCTGCTCCCATCCCTCATGCTGCTCCCAGCCAGCTGGAGGGGAAGATGGTCCCTCCTTGGGGACCCAGAAATCCCTGCTCTTGGACCTCCTGGAGACTCCATGGTGGCAGTTAGGCCCAGTGACTGCATCTGTGAGGACCTGCCCTCTGCCTTTGGAGATGGAAGAGCCTTTGTAACCAAAGGGCCTCTGCAGGGCCATCTGTGTACCCCACCTATTGCCAGCTGCTTCACACAGGGTGTCATCAGTTCCTCCTGCTGCCAGYCTCCTGCCTGGTCTATCCTGCAGCTGGCCCCCTGCCTGTCTGTCCTTCCTATCAACCTCTTGACATTCCAGCTGGTGGCCCCGTGAGGCAGAAGGAGGAAGGAAACAGTGCTGGGCAGAGGTAGGAGGGTCCTGTTCTGTCTCCTCTAGTTCTAGGGTCATCTCCCTCTCCCCTCTCTCTGTCCCCACCCCTGTGCCCGTACTTTTTGGCAATACTACAGGCCTGCTCACCTGTGAGGGTGAGTGTTCCTGGGCCCATCATCCTCACTGGGAGGGTTATCCGGCCCTTACCAGAGGTCTGTGCAGCCCCGGTGGCTGCCTATGCCCAGCTCCTCAGCTCCGCAGAGGGAAAATAAAAGCAAATCCTACGTCACCATGACATATTCTGTCATCGAGGATCACAGCAAAGGGCCTTCTCTTTTTCTCCCTCCCGTTTCTGCTTCTTGTTATAGGACATGGAAAATATTTATTACTTTCAGAGAAATCAGATATTTTATAGAAGAAATGTTTGCAGTTAGAGGTTTCACTTGGGGAAGGTGAGGGCGTCCATTCCTGAGATGGAGGCCTCCTCCTGAGAGGCTCCTCAGAATCTGGGTTGCTCAGACCATTCTCCTTCCCAGTATGTGTACGGTGGGATCTAAGAATGGGACTGACCAAGGGCAAGTGGCCTCCAGGCTTTGAACTGACAGTGGGCTTTCCCTTGTACCTCTGTGTTCTGGGTGGGAGCCTCCAGACTCGCAGTTTCTGCCGAGTCTTGGGTGCTAAATGTGATGACTCCCCAGAGTTATGACACACGTAATGCCCAAGGGGCATTGTGTGTGCTCCCTACTTCTGGGGTACCTGATTCTGATACTCAGGACTGGACTATGGAGCTTTTCCTCCTCCTGCTTTGGCCTGACCGCCACCTCCCTTTAATCCCAGGGTCTCTACACTGCCCTGGGTTTACAAGCTGGATTGGTTCCCTGTTCAGAAACCAAAGCTGGGTGGATGATTGATTTAATCCTTCAGGTGTTGCTTGAGTAAGTCAAGTGCCTAGCCATCTGTCCTCCCCAGTCTGACCGGTGGCCTGGCTAAGGAGAACCAGTCTGCCCTGTTCCTCCAGTCTCTTGGGGGTACTCATTGGCAGCAGCTGTTCTTAGGTGCAGATGGCTCTCAACTGCTTATTAGTAAACTGCATGTGACACTGTTCTCACCTACAAGGCTAACTTCTGGGCATCATAGTGGGCTCTGGGGGGGGAGCCCTGCCCCTGTGCATGCTTCTGCTGCCATCAAGAAATGCTCCAGCAGTGCTGGCCAACTGGCTGTCCTGTTTGGGGCTAGGGCACATCCATGGCCTGCTGAACCAATCAGATTCACCCCCAGGGCCTGGCACGCACAAAGGGGAGTGTCTCTGGTAAGTTACTGATGTCCCATCTCAGCTGCTGCCCTCTTTACCTGGCATGGAAAGGCCTGGTAGCCGTCGTCCRCCACAGTACTGACTTCCTAATTGTGGACTCCCAGGCAGCAGCCTTTCTCCAGGGCCCCATCTTTAGGGAGGCTAATCCCTGACTGAGCTGAGTTTGGGAGGAGCCAAGCAACCAGCAAGGCCACCTCCGGCCTCTCAGCCCTATGTCATAGAAGTGAGAAGGCCAGACCAACAACTCCTGCAGCACCCCGGGCTCCTGCTGGGACCAGTCATCTCTCCAGGTGACAGGGTCCCTCCTCTTCCAGCCTATTTGTTTGGAAATGACTGAGGGATACTTCCATATGTACTCGAGATTTCCAATAAAATCTTTTCTGTACTTTATAGCTTCCAGTTGTGCAAGTTGTCTCCCACCTCTCTGTAGCTCCTGGTCATCCGCTGGCTCTGTGGCCTTGTGAAGGGCAGAAAGGCTTTGGAATAGGGCAGGGCTGCTTTAAATCCTGGCCTTGGCCACAGATAGCTGGGCAACATTGGGTTGGTCAGGAAGCTTTCTAGAGCCTCATTTTCCTCATGCTATTCCCCTGACATGTTGTGTATTYGAATATTCACTAAGAAAATGTATATGAAGTCCACCCATGGTAAAGTCACCACAAAAGGAAGGCGACTGTCATCAGCTCTTTTTGCCCCTTGGCCTGGAGCTGGTCTTGGCTTGGAGGGAGGATGAGTGAAGGTCCTGCCATGTTCCCACAAGACAGGACAGGATGCTTGCTGGTGTAGTGAGTTGTGGCTGAGTGAACTGGAGGAGAGGGAAGGAACTGAGTCGAAGAGCAGGAAGTTGAGGGCCCAAGCAAATTTGTGTTGATGCCCTGATCTCAAATGACTCCAGGAAGGCCACTGGGCTCCGAGAAACCATGAGGAATTGGAGAGATCTGCAGAGGTCAGTCCTTTCTGGCCCCTGGGGTTCCGGCTGTAGGCATCTCAACCCTGGCAAAGCCAGCCCCTTCCTCCTAGCTGTGCCTCTAGTGGTGAAGATTCAAGATAACTGCCAGATCAGAACTGGGCAACTGCTGTCTGGGTTGCACCCTATCCTCCTTCGGGTTGAAGTCGGGCCGCAGGACAAAATAAAAGGGGGATGATCAAAAAAATTCTAAATTCAGTTCAATCCCAGGTCTGAAGAGAATGGAGCCAGCCCACTCTTGCTGGTAAGGGCCTGGGAGCCCTTGCCTGTTACTGAACTGCAGGTGACACTGACCCAGACCATGGAACCAGGCAGGGCAGATGTCCAATCCCTGGGTCAGAAATGGAAAGCCTGTCCTGTGACTCCCTCTTCAATTGGGATCTCCAGAAAGTGAAGTGCCCAGTGTCCCATGACCAGCAATTGTGTCCTACTCCTTTAAAATATCTCCCCGTGCTCCACCCAGAGACCGGTTGTTGCTAAGGCCTTGGTAAATTGGCACTTGAAAAACTCGGCAGAGGCCTGCCAGGAGCCCAACCCAAGAACACAGCTCCCCCTGTATCTCATTCTCCTCTTCTTCCCTGGGTCACTGCCTCCGTGTTCCAGTCACTAGCTTAGAGCTAGAGAGCCAGCAAGAGGAGGGTGCTAGGGCCTCCTGCCTGGAGGTTCCTGGAGGGAGGCCCCAATTGTGCAATGAGACTACTTTCCTGGAGCTCAGGCCGGTGTTTAGCCACCATCCTAACTGTCACATCCTGCAGCTCTGGCCAGGCTGCCCTGCCTGAGCAAACAAGAAAGGAGAATTAGGCAGGCCCGCCTGGGCCACCACAGTCTCCTGATGCAGCAGCCAAGCCCTCAGCAACACCTGGAGCAGAATTCCATCCTACCTTCACAATGACAAACCATTTTTAAAGATTGGCACCAGGTGTGGTGGTGCAGGCCTGTAATTCCAACTGGGGTAGGATTACAAGTTCCTAGCTTCAGCAATTTAGCAAGACYCCATCACAACAAAAAGGGCTGGGGAAGTAGCTCACTGATAAAGTGCCTCTGGGTTTAATCCCCAGTACTTTGGGGGACGGGGGCGCAGAACACATAAATATTTGCATTATTTTCGAGCACATTTTCCACCGCAGAGCCACACCCCAGCCCGCATTCACCATCGTAATCTGTAAAGCAAGGCAAAATGTGCTCAGAAGAGGAAATGGTACAAGGTCTTCCACAGCCTCTGTGGCCAGGTGGCAGGTGGAGAAGCCCAGCCTCCCAGGCTGAGGCTGGGGTGGGAAGAAAGGGAGGTCAGGAAGTGGGGGTTTCAGTTCCCGCTGCCACCTCAAGCTGGAAGTGTCACTTCACTCATTGTTAGGTACCACACACATCATAGAAACATTTTCTGGTGAAAATAATCTCAGGTGAGATCAATTCTTTTTCATGAGTTAGAGCTGGTCAGTGATTAGAATAAAAATTCAAACCCTAGTGTGACTTCAAAGCTAATCCCAGTGTCCGCCACAACCCCTCTAGTTTTCTGCCTTGCTTGCCTTAGATAAATCTAAGTTCACCTCAAACTTAGGATGCAGCACGTGGAGACCGGCTGAACGCTGAGGTGCAGGAGTGGAAGGTGACTACAGATACCTCCCAGCCCAGAAGATGGTCAGAAAGCTGGCCTCCCGAGTCAGATGGAGAAGGGGGCAGGCGGGCTGGGAAGGGGCTTCCTGACCGTCCCCCGCTTCCACYACATCCACTCTGCCTCCAGGCCTCACTTCCCCAATAGCCAGGTGGGCAGTTTTTCATCTCCATTTTTATTGAAGTATAAAAAGTGCAAATGGTGAAATACATGATTGGTGCCACTGAAGTCATCAGGTGTGAATGTGAACACTTGATTCACAGTACAAGTGCCCCCCGGGAACAGCCCAGCGGGGCAGGGGATGAAGAATGTCCAGACAGATCCAAAAGGCTCCCCAGTAAATGGGGCTGTGAGCAAGGCTTGATATACAAAGCAGGGCAGAAAGCAGGATGGCCCAACCCTGGGCCAGGCTGTAGACACAGGGGCTGACAGAACCAGCAGCAGGTCCACGCCCTGGGTCTGATGTGCCAGAGGCCTGGGGACAGAGCAGTGAGATTGGCCCYGCAGCCCCTGGCTTACAGAAGGAGCTGCCCTGCCTGGCCATGGCTGTGGGAGAGGGTCACTGCAGAGATTCCCTGCCACTGGGGGACAAAGCTATAGGAATGAGGTCCCCAGGTTCATTAGGAAGGAGTGGAATAAGGGATACCAACCATCGCTGGGGCCAGGTTTTCTGAAGGACAAAAGAACCCCGGGGCCCCACACTCCCTCAGAAGGTTGCTAGATCCCACCTGGCAGGGGCTCAACTATTAGTAAAATCTCTGCCCCTCCTGTGAGCACTGAGCCTCCACCAGACTCCCTCCAAGAGTCTCCAGTGGACAAGGCAGCTACCATATATTCTGAGGCACCAAGTCACTTCTGGCCAGAGCAGGGACATGACTCCACAATATAGAGGTCCACAAGAGCCTATGGCCTCGAATCTGTGCATGTGGGACACAGGCAAGGCCTGAGTCACTGATACCCCCTGACACTAGGACTTGGGGGGCGGGGGGCACTATTTAAAATGGATGTCAGGACTCTGTCCTGTCATCCAAACTGCCATTCCTGGCATGTCAAGACGTCCTGGGGCAGTACCACTTGGGGAAGGCGGACCCAGGAGGCAGAAATCGGAAGCGGACTCCGGCCTGGTCATTTCTCAGCTGTGGAATTACCCAAGGCTGAGCCTGTGGAGGGAGGGTGGGTGCAGGGTTCCTGTGTCCAGCTAGTGTACAGTGGGACTTCTGAAAAGCAGAGCAACTGCACCCAGACAGGGAGGCACCCTGGCATGGCCAGGGCAAACCATGGGCTCAGCTGCTGCTTCTCCAGCAATCAGGAAGGGGAGAACCAGCCCCAGCTACCAGCCCAGCCGGCACTGATTTTGTCATCCACTGTTGCCAGGGAAACAGAGGCAGGAAGGGGTTACAGGGCTCAGGTCTTCTCCAGCTGGAAGAGCCAAGCCGGGCTCTGGAGCGCCTGGCAGGACCCAGGCACCCCAAGAGGCAGTGAGAAGTATAAGGCGAAGAAAAACATCCCAGGGTAACAGCCCCCAGGCCTGTGAGGAGGAGGGCCAGACAGAGGGGAGAACCAGCCACCCAGCTAGCTAGCTCCAGCTTCCATCTCCTGGACTTTCACCCCGTTCCTGGGCAAGAGCCCCAGGATCTGTGAGGCTGAAGCCAGGAAGAGGAGTCCAAACTGGGGGTACCAGAGAAGGGGCTTGGACGGTGGAGCTGGGCTCAGGGTCCCTTGCAATCAGGGTTGGGGAACAACTCCCCTTGATGGTCCAGGAGGAACTTGGTGAAAGTGTTGATGGGATTAATAGCCTTGAGGGTGATGGCGGCATCCTTGGCCCACAGCAGGTTAGGGCCAAAGACAACAGCAAGGTTAGTGTTGGTCATCTTGTTCTGGTCAGAGTGGGCAGAAATCTGTGGAGGGAATCGGGGACTGCATCAGGAAGCCACAGGCCTGCCTCCTGGTTCCAGCCACAGTGCAGCTCCCCCTCCTCCCTCCCTGTACCCCAAGTGAGCAGTGGAGGCTGAGGTGAGTCTCACCTGCACCAGGAAGGCAGTCAGGAATCGAAGCACCTGGTAGTTCTCCTCAGGCAGTGTCTGGAGGACCTGCTGTGTCACCTCCACTCTCTGGCTCTCATCGATGTCTATAAAAAATCGGGTCACGGGGGAGCCGGGCTGGCTCAGGAAGCCCTGACACAAGGCAATGAGGAGACCCCACCAGACTTCCTGGGAGATGCCCGGGCCCACAAGCCTGCTGGCTGAGGTGGTGGGTAGACAGTCAAACACACCTGCCCCCAGTTTAACCCCAGACCAGGCAGAAGACTTGCAGGCTAAGAGGGCAACTCACTGAGGAAACCCACAACGTGGGGGTAGAGGTCAAAGGTTAGCAGGGGCTCTGGAAGTTCCCGAAGGAAGGTCTTGAGGATGACGGCTGGCAGGTGCAGCTCATTGTACTGGTCGAAATCCACTGGCAGCCCTGGGTGGGAGAGGCAGGCTGGAGATCACGTGGCCCAGCCCAAGGCCAGCAGCGACGTGGAGGCCAGGTGGGCCCCTTGAGGCCCCAGCCAGGACACAAGCCCCCTCCTCTCAGGAGCCACCTCTTACACCTGCCTCCTTTCCTCCTCGGTGACAAGGGGATGCAGGTTCAGACCATGTGGGGGGAGTGAGCCCCCACCCCTCTGAACAAGCCTGAGCCCAGGGGACCCAGAGTCTGACAGCTGGCCTGGAAACAGGCAGGCACAGAGGGAYCTATATAGTGACACCAGATGCCACCTAAACCTCTGACAGGAAGAGACTCTGGGAGCCTTGTTTACAGGGTGGCAGAAAGCAGAGAACTCTTCTAAGTCACACGTGTGCCCTGTCCTCCCACACTCACACCCTCGGGGTCCACACCGACTCAGGGGCCTGCACAGCCCGCGGCCACTCACCCATGTTGTACTTCTGCTGCACCTCCCGCACCACCTGGGTGTTGGCTGACCTCCGGAAGATGCCTTCGGTGGTGAGAGCTGGGAACAGTGGGGCCTGGTGAGTCTCAGAGCTCTGGGCAGCGGGCAGCTTCCCAGCCCACTCTCTGTCTTCAGGTTCCAGGTAGAGTCCGTGGGGGTGGACCTCAGCCCTGCCCAGCAGCCTCCCAAGGGCAACTGGGGGCAGGTGATTTTGGAAGTTGGTGGCCCCATGACTGGGTGGCAAGGGCCCTGGCACTTACCATGGGCCTGCAGGTAGGCAACGGTCTCTCTGAGCACAAGTGGGATGGGATCCTGCTCAGGGTTCTTCTCCTGGAGGCTATGGGGACAAGGGTGTTGAGAGGGTCTGCAGCCCAGCCTGGCCCCAGCAGCCCTCAGCCCTGGTACTCACTGCTGCAACGTGACCCCAAACTGCTGGTTGGGGAGGGGTGGTCGCGGTGGCATGGGCTTGGGGGCTGTTGCAGGACTCTTCTGTGTGGATTTGAGGAAGTCATCATACCTGGGGGGCAGATGGGACAGGGATCAGGCCCTCTGGCTTTGTAGTCAGCCAACTTCCTCACAACCCGACTTCATGCTACCCATGACAAAGCAGACATTTAAAGAGATTGTCACACCCTGTGACAGAAATGGGGCTTGATTCTACTCTGACTCTGTCTGCTGTCCCCGAATCATGACACTCGTTTCTTCTCATTACCCTGGGTTCTCCAGCTCCCTGCCCAGGGCCAGCTTGTCCTGCCCCCACCCACCCCCCGTCTCACTTGAGCACTTGGCGAGGGATCCCCAACTGCTCCAGCTTCACATGCTCGCTCAGCTCGCTCAGGTAATTCACGTAGAAAATTTTCCGCCCAAACTTGAAGCTGCCAATGGAAGGAAGGGCCTGAGTCCGGGGCTGTGCCACCCCCTCTCTGCCCACCCAGCTCAGACAGAGGTCTGGCCCCAAGCGGTCTGCCGAAGGTGCTCGGGCCCCAAGACGTGCTGGAGGTGCAAAGGACACATGTGGAGGCCACCTGCTCACCTAATGATGGGTTTGAAGAGGATGAGCAGGGTTTTGATGAACATGGTTGGGTGCACAATGTACAGGGCCTTGATGTTCTTCTTATATCTGTGGGAGAAGAATGGGAAACTCAGGAGTGGACAGGGGTTCTTTGGTTATTTATTTATTTATTTTTTGGTTTCAGGGATTGAACTCAGGGGCGCTAATCCACTGAGCCTCGTTCCCAACCCCCCCTTTTTTTTTTCTTATTTTGAGTGAGGGGCTCACTAAATTGCTTAGGGCCTTGCTAAACTGCTGTTGACCTTGAATCTGTAATCCTCCTGCCTCAGTCTCCTAAATCACTGGGATTACAGGCATGTGCCACCACGCCTGGCCAGATAGGGTTCTTTTTGTGTGTGTGTGTGGTGCTGGGTTCGAACCCAGGGCCTTGTGCATGCAGGGCAAGCACTCTACCAACTGAGTTACATCCCCAGTCAAGATAGGGTTCTTAATGGGCAGTTTCTGATCTGACTACTCATGGTAGGCACTTGAGATAAGTGTCATTGTTGCCCCATTTTGCAGATTAGAAAACAAGAGGCTCAGAGAGATTAAGTAACATGAAAGGTCACAGAATGAGGAAGTAGAGGAACTGGGATTTAAGCAGTGGCCCTCCAGATTCAGACTCTGTTTACCCAGGGCAGGGCTCCACCTCCCCCTGGCATAGCATAAGCTCCTGCCCACTGGAGGGCAGCCAGAGCCTGCAGAGCTGCTGGTTCCCCAACCCACTTTCGGTCAAACTCCCGGTAGGCATCCCGCAGCCAGCTGAGGGAAGGCTTGTTGTCACTGGTCAGCCCGTGGTGCAGGTACAGCAGCGTGTAGTCGCTCTCCACATACTGGTCCAGTGTGTGCTTCAGGTACCTTCAAGGGAAAAATGGCTCAGACATGACCTGCGTACAAGTGTGGCCCAGTCCAGGTGAAGACAGAAACCGGTGTCCTGGGAGTCTGCTGCTTGCACCACACACCCCCCCACACCCCCCAGCCAAGGTCTGTCTATTCTGGCTGCATAATCAGTCACCAGCTTCCTGTTGGGGAGGCAGAGGGTGGTGGCTGGGCCAAGCAGGAAAATAATGATAAGAGCACTCATTTTCTTTTCCTTGGGTGCTGGGTTGAACACAGGGCCTCGTGCATGCTGGGCAAGTGCTCTACCACTGAGCTACATCCCCAGCCCCATAGCTCTCAATTTGAGCACTGACTAGAAGTCAGAAAACCTGGACTCTAAGCTGGGACCTCTTGCCTATCTGCAGTAAAAAGGGAACGACATTTCCCTCAGAGGATTGTCCCGAGTCAGTAATAACAAGATAACAAGAGCCTCTGTTTAGCGAGGTAAGCTTTTAGGGTACGCCAAAGACTTTCCATACATCACCTCATTCCTTCCTCGTAACAATGGGAACTGATATTATCCCTATCTACAAATGAAGGCAAGGAACAGAGACGTCAAGTGCTTATCCAAAGTTACACAGCTTGTGGTGTAGGGTGGAGGTGACATGTGCAACTCCAAAGCCTGCATTCTTTTTTTTAATTTTTTTTAATTTCTATTTTTTGTAATTATAGATGGGCAGCATGCCTTTATTTTATTCGTTTCATTTTTATGTGAGGCTGAGGATCAAACTCTGTGTCTCACACATTGCAAGGCAAGCACTCTGCCACTGAGCTACAGCCGCAGCCCAAAGCCTGCATTCTTGACTTTGGGACAGCATTGCCTTTCACATGTGAGCGCCTCCAGCACAGGCTGTAAAACACTGTGCCTGTGAGAGGCAACCAAGGTGGCCAGAAGATCCTCAGCTCCAGTTATTGGGCTGTTATTAGACCAAAGAGCCACGCTTCAGATTCCTTATGCTCACAACATAGTACCTACCACCCCAACACACGCACATACACATGTGCTCTTAAGCATGCAGAGAATGAATGGAATGAAAAGAAAGGATGGAATAATTCAAGAAAGGGAGGGAAGTCCAGTGTAAAGTCCTCTTTCTGGCTGGTCAACCTGCCCCAAGGCTCCAGGAGGGACGCCACTCCAGACTGGGCAGGCCCAGCGCTAACAACATCAAAGAGGCGGAGAGGAGGGAAAATGCTCGGGGAAGTGCCCAAGGATTTGACCAAGTGCCAAACAGGACATGGTCGACCCGGAGAGGACAACCTAAACACTGTTCCTGGCACTGGCCTGGAGCAGCACAGGCAAGCATGAAATGCGGCTAATGCTGGATTATTACTGATTCCAATCGTTAACTACACAATAATTCACCCTTTACCCACCATGAGCACACTGCAGTTTACAAAGAGCTGTCGTGTAAAAGGACGGCATGTGCCACTTGAAAATAGCGAAGACTGCAGTGAAAATGCACATTCTCATCTGCCGAGATGTCATTACCTTTTGGATAAATAACAAAGTGATGTTTATCAGGAACTATAAAATGTTCAAACTCTTTGAACCTGTAAAAGTATGTCCAGGATTTAAGGATAAATGTGTTTCTGTTCCGAGTTGAACAGAAACTTTTTTGTAGGAGGCTTTCATCCCAGACTTTTATGATGGGGGGAAAAGAAAACAACAAAAATAGCAAGCCGTCCAACATTAGGGAACTGGCTAAAGAAATCATGTGACTTCTACAAATAGAATATCTCACAGGATGTTTCTTCAGAAAGCACTAATCTGTGAAGTCAGAATGTCAGAACAGAGGTTACTGTTTGAGGTGGAGACAAGGGACAAAAGGTCTCTGGGGTGTGGGTGACATGGGTGTGTTCAGTTTCTAAAAGTCAGGTATGGGGTATGGTGGCATCTGCCTGTGCTACTTGAGAGGCTGGGGCAGGAGGATCATTTGAGCCCAGGGGTCTGAGGGCAGCCTGAGCAACACATTGAGATCCTGCAACGACAACAAAAAAATCAGGGAGCACACCTTACAATCTGTTCTCTTTCCTGTTTGCATGATAAATGTCAATAAGTGTTTTTAGAAGGATACCTTTGAGGAATGTTTAGTGCCCAGAGAGAAAAACATCATGTAAGGTACAAAACTAAGGGAAGGGTTCCTCATGTTATAGAAAAAAAGTAGGAAGTGAATCATAAAATATTAACCGTGGTTTTCTCTTTGGGTGGTAGGGTTATGGGAATCTTTATTTTTTCATTGTTATCTTTTTTCTTTATATCTACTTACATTTTCCCAGCCTCTCAAAAGAGTCACACTGTGCAGACATACACAATGTCATTTCATGTCTATTATCCTACCCACTGCTCACACAGCCCTGTAAGGTGGGCACATTCTTGTTTTGTTTTGTTCTCACCGGGGATGGCGCCCAGGGCCCTGCACATGCTAGGCAACTGCTGTACCACAGAGCTATAACCCCAGCCCCATAGTTCTCATTTTTATAGGGCTTGGAAGAAACTCGTCCCAAAGCACATAGCTACTAAGAGGCGACTGAAGTTCAACTGGCCTCTGACTCTAAGTTTCAGGCTTTTTCCATTTCAACCCGCAGAGCTGGCTGGGGAGCTGGGAAAAGCCAAGTGTGAGGTAATCTGACTGAAAACAGGACAGCCTGATCCACGGAGGAAGAGCCTCTGCCCTCAGCACTGTGACCAGGCTCTGTGTGTGTGTGTGTGTGTGTGTGTGTGTACGCATGCACGCGTGCGCCTGCCTGCCCGGGAAGGATGGAGGGCCCAGAGCAGGGGTTGATGGCGGGGTTCTTGAACCTGGGGGAAGACCCAGAGCGGGTGCACCTCCCTCAACAAGCTGTCTCCCGAGGACTGGGTCTTTTCCATCCCCATCCTCTGACTTCCTCCCACGTGGACGATCATCGGCCAGCAGTCTCTCACCTGGTACACCAGAGATGGTGAAAAAGCTAGAGGGGAGGGCAGGTGACTCAGCCACCCTCAGGCTGAGCTCCTTGGCTATTCCTGGCTGACCACGTGGTAGGCCCGGACAAGATTCTGCCTGCCTCCCCTGAGGAACAGTGGGAGGAAGTCAGAGGCCAGAGAGAAAGAATTCACAGACACTGGAGGGACTCGGCCTCCAGCCCTGGCTCACCAGGGACTAGGTGAGACTCCAAACTCAGGCTGTTGCCCTTCCGCTGTGGCACTCTGGCCTTGTCCCCAAGCCCAGCCCATTTCATCCCCACACACAACCACCCGGGACCTCAATGAGCTCTAACTGCTACTGGCAGTACAGAAATGTTACATTTAGGGAGCGCTTTAAACTGGCCAGGAAAGAAGTACAAGATGGTCGCTCTGCACAGAGAAAAGACAGAAGGAGGTCAGGTACTGCTCTGCTTGGATGCCCACACACCCTGACTGTGCTGGTCCCCAACGTGCGCCCCGTGCTGGTTGGAGAGTGAATGGTTATCAGAACAGGATCTGCCACATGTCACCTTCAACTAGCCTATGAACTTGAATTCAGAGATGTCTCTGTTACATGTATCTGGCTAAAATAACCCACATAGGTACAGAAAGCACAGGCACCAAATTTGGCACAAAATAATATCACACTAATTATGAATATAGATGAACAACTATCACGACCACATAATACACCATATGATAATTTGGATGGTATTTTATTTCTTGACACATTTTCACGTGCAGTATCTCACCCCATAAGGAAGGAGGACTGGATGACTGTCCCCCTGGAGAGTGAGAAAATGAGGCTCAAAGACACTTGCCAAGGTCACAGTTTCTGTGATTAGAAAATAGGTCTAAATCTTAGTCTCCCACAAATATAAAACAGCTCCTCATGGGAGGAAGTGAGGCATTAAGGGAGGTGGCCTGGTCCCCTAGCAGGGAAGGACAATAAGGAAAATGGCTATGGGCTACCTGGGGTCTGGGCAAAGGTCCCACGCCCCTTCTCCATAGGTACTCACCCCAGGAGCTTGCTGTGGTCCAACTGGTGGCTAGGGGGCATCCGACAGGCACTAAACACGATGATCTTCCGCCCATACTTGTCATCTCCTAGGTATGAAGAAAGACGGAGCCCAGTGGATTGAATGAACCAAAAGAATGGGGGAGGGGATGGGGTGTGGCTCAGTGGTGGAGCACTCGCCTGGCACGTCTTAGGCACTGGGTTCAATCCTGAGCACCACATAAAAATAAATAAATAAATAATAAAGGTTAAAAAAAGAAAGAATGGGGGTGAGGAACATAGAGGTGCCAGTCTGGAGACCTGTGTCAGTGAGTACCAGGCCTGAGCAGCCCAAGGACACTTCCTTCAGGCAGTGCTTGCACTCAGAGCATGCCACTTAAGAAAGAGGGACTGGTTGCTTTCAGGCCAGTGAGCCAGGGTACAAAAACCAACATCACTTTTTAAAAAAATAATGCCTGGTATGGGCTGGGGTTGTGGCTCAGAGGTAGAGCGCTTGCTTAGCACATGTGAGACCTTGGGTTCGATCCTCAGCACCACATAAAAATAAATAAGTAAAATAAAGGTATGGTGTCCAACTGCAACTAAAATAAATAAATAAATAGAGTAATGCCTGGTAGAAACAACCCAAATGCCCCCCAGTGGGTGAGTGGGTAGAGAAAATATGGTATATCCATGCAAAGGAACACTGTCTGGCCATTAAAAAAAAAAAAAAAAAAGGTTCTGATATGTGCTAATATGAATGAACCCTGAAAACACACTAAATGAAAGCAGCCAGATTCAAACAGGCACCTACTGTATGATTTTATTTATGAGGTGTCTAGAATAGGTAATTCCCTGGAGATAGAAAGCAAATTAGTGGTTTTGAGGTGCCGGGAGAAGAGGGACTGCTTAACAGGCACAGGGTTGGTACGGGCACAGGAGATGAGAATGTTCTGGAATCAGCTGCACACACTATCCATATACTAAACATCACCAACTGTACACTTTATTATTTTTTTTTTTAAAGAGAGAGTGAGAGAGGAGAGAGAGAGAATTTTTAATATTTATTTTTTAGTTCTCGGCGGACACAACATCTTTGTTGGTATGTGGTGCTGAGGATCGAACCCGGGCCGCACGCATGCCAGGCGAGCGCGCTACCGCTTGAGCCACATCCCCAGCCCAACTGCACACTTTAAAATGAATGACACTTTAAAAAAAAACTGTGTTGGGTTTTTTTTTAATTTTTTGGTACTGGGAGTTGAATCTAGGGGTGCTTAGCAACTGAGCCACATCCCCAGGCCTTATTTTTTTTTTTTTTTTTTACATTTTTTTCAGAGACAGGGTCTTGCTAAGTTGCTTAGGGCCTCGCTAAGTTGCAATCTTCCTGCCTCAACCTCCAGAGCTGCACCCCAAGGCCAGCGAAATGATTGATTTTGTTATATAAATTTTACCTCAATTTAAAAAACTCACATTCACCAAAGCATTTATTATCTTGCCAGTCATCTTAAAATTTGTCTGCACTTACCACCCACTCTGAGGCACAAGTATCTGGAAAACCTCTTAAAGCTACCTTCTTAGCAAGTCTGATGCCCCAGAGGAAATGAGCCTGGATACTTAATGGTCATGTCTTACTTTTAACCATTGACGACAGGTTCTGATTATACTACTGGAACGACCGATCACACTTCTAAAAATCATATACTTTCATATTAAAGAATCTGAAGAACATGGAATTCAAAGAGTGTGTAAACCTCTGGCAACAGGCTCACACGGGTGTGATCACCAGGGATGTCTGCCAACAGTTTAATGGTCTGACCAGCTGGCTCCATCACAAAGCCGGGAAGTTCCTGAGACATATGCTACTGTCCCCAAAGTGAGATGCTCCTCAGGGTCAGCATGGGTCAGAGGCCGCCAGCACAGTTCAATGGGGCCAGGCCTAGTCCCCACACCACCATGTCCCAGGGACCTTCCCTTCACCTCTCCAGAGATACCAAACTACACTTGCCTAATTCCTGCAGCCTCAGAGGCAAATAAAAAACCACATAACTAATCCAGGAATTGCAGGGACACCCTGCCCTTCCACATCTGCCTCTGAGGACTAAGGATGGCTGAGTGTCTCCCCATATTTAACAAGCCATGGTCCTGCTGACCCTGCCTGGTCCATGACAGAGGCCAGGAGTCAGAGCTGCTCCAGAACGGGCAACACCCTCCCGCTTTGCTCTAGGGCCGAGACAGGGCACGCTGCAGGGTGGAAGGAGGCTTCTGGCAGGGCAGCCCTGTCCATGGTAGCTGTGCAACCTGGTACTTTGGCCTCACTCCTAGCAGTCTGTCTGTCACAGCCAACCTCTCTATCAGTCCCTGACCCCTCCTGTTTCCACCCAAAGTACAGCCTGGCTTTGTGGGCCCTGAAAGTCCCAGCCAGGGCCCTCTAAGAATTTCCTGTGTTCTGAGGCCCACCCCACCAAGCCCTGAAACATGCTCCCAACCTGCCCAACATTTAGCCAGGGGGTTTACAAACACCCATCTGCCCCTACACACAGCACTGAATCCGCTTTTCCTCCTGAATCCCACTCCAGATATACTCCGTGGCCCTGGTTCTATAAATGTCCCTGAATGTAGGTCACAGGACTCTGGGCTCCAGAGTCACACCATGCACACCTCCAACACATAGGCACTAAGCTTGGCTATGCCAGGCTGGGTTCAGCTTTCATACCAGACAGATCTTTCTTGAAGTTAACTCCAGTGAACGTTGGACACTCAACCTAATCTCCTCCCTGAAGCCTACATCCTCCCCTCCTTCCCTCAGAGAGGTGAGCTGCCCCTTTTCGTGGCTCCCAGCATAACCTGTCATGACACTGACTCTCTCATGTAACTGTTCATACAACCCCTGTCTCCTCCTGACACCTGAAAGGTAGAAGACAAGAACTGTGTCTGATCTGGCCTTAGATCTATAGTGCTAATCCAGCATGTGGCAGGTATTCAGTAGGTATTGGAAGCCTGAAGTCACAGGTCACCAGAAATGGTACACACAGTTTCACTTCTGAAACCTGTTGATGTTTAGGTTACGAGTTGGACTGTGTTAGACAGTGAGTTTTCAAAGCCTGGGACAGAATTTCTCCTGACTGACAGAGAGTCCTCAGTGTGCCAGTGTGAAGAGGAAGTGCACCTCCTTCCAGAAGCACATCTACTCTGAAGGTCCAGATGCCACCTGCTCTCTTCTGTACTAGCCTAGATGCTCATGTGCTGGGTTCCTTCCAGGCCAGCTGTGGGTGGCTCTGGGCCTCTATGCTGGCTCCAATTTACTTCTCACAGCTCTARCAAGAAGAAGAACAGAGTGGCAGGGGACAGGGATAAGGGTTAGACTAACAGCCTGCTCACACAATCTGGTCTTCAGGAAGCTCAGGGTCTCCCACCAGGAGCCTGTGAAGACAAAGCACTCTGTCTGCATACTCTAAGCAAAGGAAATTCCCAGGATGAGGGGCTTCCAAGAGATTGTTCCTCCTGCTACCCTAACAATAAGATAGCCCTCACTGCCTGGCAGATCTGAGGAGTTGGGGCAGAAAGTTGTGAGCTCTCATGGCTCTGGAATGTGAAGAGTTCGTAAGTGGCTAAGGAAGCAGTTGGGGTGAGTCCCAGGGGCCTGTGGTTCCCTCTCTCAGCTGGCCATAGCATCTGAAATGGGAGGCTTTGGGTTCTCAACAGGGCTCTGCCAATGCGCTCAGCAGATCCATCAACTCCCTGATGTTATATGAAAAATATTATAAGCACATGCACACTTTTTCTAGAGAGTTACCTACACTGGGGATACCTTGAAGAGGCCTCTGACCAGTTTTAAGAATTACTTCACTTGGGGCTGGGATTGTGGCTCAGCAATAGAGTGCTCGCCTAGTACATGTGAGGCACTGGGTTCGATCCTCAGCACCACGTATTAAAAAAAAAAAAAAAAAAGGTATTGGTATTGTGTCCACCTACAACTAAAAAAGAAAAATTTTTTTTAAATAAAAAAGAACCGATTCACTAAAGTGATAAACTTTTTTTGGCTGGGGATCAAACCCAGGCCTCACACATGCAGGGCAAATGCTCTATCATTGAGTTACACCCTCAGCCCTAGACTGTAAGTGAGTTTTTCCTCACTGGGCACTCAATACTGGCTTGTTCCAGAGTTCCGTGATATCGTTCTACGAACTCACACTAAATGAAGCAAGGACAGGGATGGAAATGGAGGACAGCTAGGGTACAGTGAGGGATTAGATGACAAAACTCCCAGACAGGGAAGGAATGAGAGTAGGGGCAACCTTAGGGTCTAGCCCCTGCCCTCTCATCTCTGGGTTCAGCTTTCATACCAGACAGATCTTTCCTGAAGTTAACTCCAAGGAACGCTGGACACACTAAAGTGGAGTCCATTACCCAAGTCTTTGGGTGGCCTGGTGCTTGGCAGCAGACAGGGCAGCTGCTGCAGCTGCTGCAAGAAGCCATGAAGAGGCACAGAACACTCCCACTTGGCCCAGAAGGGAACCAGCTTCTGCCCTGGAGTCTTAAGGGAGAGGCTAAGCTGGCAGCTTTGCTGTCTCCAGAGGACCAGGGGAGAGTGCAACAAGGAGGGGCCCAAGAGTGAGGCCTCTGCATTCCCCAGATACCAATCAGGACTCTCCCAGGGTGGCCTGGGTGTTAATCAGCAACAGGACAGCTCCTCCAGCAGGCATTCTAGGCACTGCCGGACCAGCCCCAGCACTCACAACCTGCAGAGCAGGCTAAGGACACTCCAGAGGCTAGGACTGGCAGCCTACAGTGTGCTAGAGACACACATCTGTTAAATTGTCAGGAATTTTGTGAGCCACTTGACATCATGTTGGTAGCTTGAAACCAGCTGTGACAGAAATTGCAAATGCTTCAAATAATGGTCTTTTTTTTTTTTTCTTTTCTAGAGAGCCTCCTGTTAAACATTTACCAGCACACCACTGGAAAGAACCCACTGGCACTGAGTCAAGTTTGACTGAGGAGCATGACAGCCACTGCTATCAGGTACAACAGAGGCTGCAGAGGAGTTGGGGACACAGCCCACTCACCCTTCCTGCATGGGCTCTTTCTCTGTTTCTAGTGTCAGGGACATCACTGTGGGCTCATCAAACCAGCCTCATTTGGACAATACCAATCCAAATTACTCATCAACCAGAGAGGCATGCACATGGGGACACCATCACCCAGGGGTCTCCGAGCCAGCCCAGTGGCCAGACCTGATATGGATGAGGCCCCTCTGTCCCCTGGAGCTCCTTCTCTTTTTTTTTTTTTTTTTTAAGAGAGAGTGAAAGAGGAGAGAGGAGAGAGAGAGAGAGAATTTTTAATATTTATTTTCTAGTTCTCGGCGGACACAACATCTTTGTTGGTATGTGGTGCTGAGGATCGAACCCGGGCCTCACGCATGCCAGGCGAGCGCGCTACCGCTTGAGCCACATCCCCAGCCCTGGAGCTCCTTCTCTTTGGGCTCTGGTGTGTCCCCACACAGCCTCCACCTTATCATGCCTCCCATAAACTGCTATTTCCGGCTCCCAGGCTCCACAAGTTCCCAGGTTCCCAGAGTAGGGCTGCAATTAAGCTAGCCCCACTGGCCTCCACCAAGAGCCCTTCCTGATCAACAGCCCCAGAGGCCAGAGCCCAGAGAGGCCAAGCACAGAGAACTAGGACTAACACCTACCTGACTGGGCCCCCTCAGGCTCGTCACACCCTGGGGAAACAGAAATATGCTACAGCTTTGCTGGCTGGGGAACAAGAGGACACTTGTGGAGGTGGGATGGGCAGCCTCCTCCAGTTCTGCCTTGTGACTTAATCACATAGGCTAAGAGGCTGTCTGGTAGACTCCTTCACAATGGACATCCCCACATTCTACCCAAGTTCACAGGGGGACTCTCCTGAGCCCAGGTCAGGACCAGGCCAGGAAGAAACTCTCAGCCTTGCTTCTGTAAGGGTGAGAGAGGTCAGGATCAAGGCCCCCAACAAAGGCAGACAACAGAAACACATTGGACATTAGGGGCAACCTATTTAACTGCCCCATCACCCTTCAGCCCAGCATTCAGAGGGCTGGAGCTCCCTGCTGCTTCCCCAGGCCAGATGCCTCCAGGCATGTGGCTTCTCCCAGCATCAGTACCACCCTGGGCTCTAGGGGCTGCAATCTACTTGGCTCTCCTTGCCTCAGAGCAAGGCGAGGCTGTCACCCTTGCTTGTAGCTGCCTAGCCTCAAGGTTGCCTCTTCTGGCGGTGGAATCCTGAGGACAGGAGCCAGTTTAGCCATGGCTCACTACCTCCTACTCCAGGTTTCTTCTGGGTCCTCCTTATGAGCAGGAAGGAAGAAGGTTCCTGAAGGCAGAGACCCAAAGCGGACTCTCCATCCATTCAAGACAGGGTACACATCTGCCAGGAACTTGATACTCTAGGAGCTATGTTACTCTGAACTTCTGGAAGGAAGCTCTGTCCATTCCAGACATCCTTAGAGGTATGGTTTCCCAAGAGGGACTGACACGCCCCCTCCTCTCCAATAACTGGGTAGAAAAGTTGACCTCAGGGCCAAGGGGAAGGAAGGGGAAAAATGGGGAATGGAATGAATGGAATAAGGGGAAAGGCAAGGCTACTCACTCAGGGCCGACTATGCTCTTGCTCAGCACTAAGCCCCGACAATGATTCATGATTTCATGACCCATTGAGGAAGAGCTCAGAGAGCAGAGCTGGAGATCAAACCCAGCACTTTCTGACTTCAAAGTTACTAGGCCATATTGCCTCCCATGCATCATCTCAAATGGAAACAACAAAACCATAGATCAGGGAGGGGTGAAAGTATCGAGAGGCAATCACAATCAAGCCTGTGCTTTTTAAAGAAAGGTACATGTGCTGAGGAGCTCCAAGATCTTAGGTCAAACCACAGGTAGACACCAGCATGCCCCCCAGACCCCTCCCCTATGGTGTGAGGGGTGAGCTTCTTTAAACCAGGAGCACAGACCATGAGGAAAAAGGTGCAGAGCTGGGTGTGCTCACCTGCCACCTCCACAATCTGGTGCCGGGCAATGTCATAGTAAGGGTCATCCCACTTCAAGTGTGTGACTGGTTCCGGGGAGCTGCTTTTGGAGTCATCTGAGAAAAGGACAAAATCAGGGTATAAATCCAGGTGGCTGATACAGTGCTTTCCCTGATACACCCTTGCTGGTCCTCTCCTCAGGAAGGCTTGTTTTCCTGGCCCAATCCTGGGGCTGTCTGCCCAGGTGGCTCCCCTGGGCTCTCCCTTCAGTAGGAAGTAGGTCTCCCCTCCAACATGCCTATAGCTGCCCAAGACCTGGTGGTGCCCACCTGACTTGGGAAAGTCCGGCATTTCATCTGAGGGCCAGTTCTTCTCATCAATGGAGGCCAACTTCAATTGGTTCAGAGCCTGGCTGGTGTCATCGAGGGTCAGGTCATCCTGCAGCTCTGAGAGCGGATCCATGGCAAAATCTGTCCTTTGTGGCAGAACCTGAAGGCAGAGCTGGGAGAGTTAAAAAGGTGGAGAGTCAGTAACCCCCTCTTTTCACCTTCCGTAATTTTTTTTGCAAGCCCTCCTGGCCCCTCTTCCCTCTCCTGGCTCCCTTGTCCCTATTCCTCAACACTTCTCATCTTGCCAAGAGTTCCATGGAGCATGTTGCCAGGAAAGGCAGCTGGGGCAGAGGACGGCACAGCTTGGTACCTTCCCTCAGGTCCTCAGCTAGAGAGGAAGATCTGTGCCAGGTCCTGAGCTGCCTACCACCCAACTGGCCGGGGGGGGGGTGCAGTCCCAGCTGCAAAGGGCAGAGGTCCATGTCCCTCTCCTCAGGGTTCCTGGAGTACAAAAGCCTCGTGGGTCCCAGCAACTGGTGGATGTTAGAAGAATCTAAGGAATCTAAGGATTTCCAAAGGCCTTGCATGGCTGTGATCCTATCTTCTCCACCCCTCCCCACTGGCCTGAGAAGAGGAGTTAGCCAGAGATGTCAGGGTCCCAGAAAAAAGGTCATGATTGAGCAGCCTAACTAGGTTTGCCCCAGGACAGGAACCAGCAATAGGAATGGAATCTGCTGGCTAGTCCCAAAAGACAAATCTGCAGGTCTCCATGTTAAGACCTGTGGGAAGGTTCGCATACCACTTTCAAGGTGGAAAGGTGGACAGACTACTCTAAGGATTGAAGGGCACAGATAGAAAAGGGAGTGGTTAGTGATATCTGGAGTGCTAAAGTAAGGTCAGCGACAGACAAGTAGGAAGCAGGGAGAAGAGGACACTGAACCAGGTTTCCTGGTTCAGTCTGGGACTTGGCCATATAGTGGTGACACCCTCTGTCCTCAGTTGTACGGGATTCACCTCCTGCTCTCACCAGATGGGTGAGGGAGGGGGTATTAATTCAATCCATTTTTCCAACCCCAGAAGAGACTGCTCTCAGGGCTGCTGCATTCCTGGAGCCCAGAAAATGACATATATGGTCAGAGAATCAGCAGGGCAGATAAGGAGAGCAGATAGGACTTGGGGGTGGGTAGGAAGAAGGAGAGAGCTGTCATCTGAGATCCACAAGCTGGGCTCTAAGGCGACATGACAACCTCCCGCAAATTTCACAGCCAAGGACTCTGGATGGTGAGCCTGCTCCCTGAGCATAGCAACAACCACCCCGTTACCAGGGCAACCACTGAGTCAGTGGAAAAAGCTGTTTCAAGCTCCCGAATCAAAGGGTCAGAAAGTCCTCTTCTTCCTTTCTCTCTCCCTCTCCCCTGGCCTTATCCACATCCTCTCAGTGAGAACTAAGAACCCTCATTCTAATGCCTAACTCCCTTACTTCTCTGCAACCCTCAGCCCTCCAAAGTAGGCCATCTTCTGTCTTGAAGCGATTCACCCCATCCTTCTACATGCTCCTCCCCCATTCAACCAGGAGACTGTGGGTTGCTTCCCAACAGCGGCCTACAGATGAATAAGAAGGACAGAATCTAATCCAAAGCAAAACCCTCTAGGCCTGAGCATTTTCTCCATCCTTTCTGTCTTGTCACTGCCCAGGCACCAGGGGGTCCATCATCACTAATAGATATCCCAGAGAAATCCTTCTGCATACAGTAGGTGCTTCATGTGATGGAAAAAGCATGGGGCCAAGTACATGGAATTCAGGGTTATGGTCCTGTCTAAGCCAACGAGTTGCAAAAATCCTGGGCCTCAATGTCCTCATCTGTAGAAGCTAAGGCTCCTCCCAGGAAAATAATTCTCCAGTGCTAAGAAATAACTTGTGCCGAAGTGAACAGAAGGATTAGAAGTAGCAGTTAGGGACTGAGCTATGTGTGAAGGAGAGGGAAGGACACATCTAACAGGGGGCTGAACTTGAACTCCACTTCTTTTCCATATACTCCTCCTCTGTCAAGTTTTTCTAAACTTGACCTCCCTCAATTCCCCACATAATCTCCTTTTTCAAAGGTAATCACAATGGTCCCAGCCATACCAACTTCCCTAGTCCCCCTCTAACACACAGCTGTCGCCTTCTTTGAGCCCAGAAGTTTAGCTACAATCAGCAAGAGAGTGAAGAAAGCCAGTGAGTGAAAGAAAATTCTAAGATAAGGTAGTGGAAATCATGTATGCTGGCTGCCTAAGATACCAACCAATGGTAAGTCCTGTTCCATTCCATTCCATACTTCCCACTCTTGAGATCAATTTTTCCTTTTCAGCAGATCAACCATATAACTTTCCCCAAATCTTTGAGGATCACTTTAGGTACCAGTTTTAACTCTTGGGAAATGGTTGTCCAAAATGATGTCATTTGTGATCTTTTTTCCCTAAAAAATAGTCAACAGGTGTATGTAGACTTACGTGAAAATTTAAGGGGTCCTCAAACCCCCTGAGAATCACTATTTAAGAACTCACTCAAAGGCTGGGATGCAGCTCAGTGGTACAGCATCTGCCTAGCATGCACAAGGCCCTGGTTTTCATTCCCAGTACCACAGAAACAAAAAACCTATTCATAATAATGCCTGGCACATGGTAGGTGCTCAATCATTAGGTGAATTACAGAATAAGTGAATTCTTTTCCTAAGTGGAGAAGGGAACTAATACAGTTGAGGGACATGAATTGGACACAAGCAATTAACTTCAAAACAGCACTGGTCCAGCATGTATTACCAAGCCTGTTTACTGGGCCCATTTTACAGTTTGAGGAAAGTGAGAAGCAAATTGCAAAAAAGTCATACAAGAAGCAAGATTTAAATTTTTTTTTTTTTTAGTTTTTAGGTGGACCCAATATCTTTATTTTACATTTATGTGGTGCTGAGGGTGGAACCCAGGGCCTCGTGCATGCTAAGCAAGCGCTCTACCTGGGAGCCACAATCCCAGCCCAAGAGGCAAGATTTTTAATTGTTCTCTGAGATAGACTCTTGGTGAAAGGCAATCCCTCAACAATTCATTTATGCGATTCTCAAGGTTCAAAAGAACAACTTCTCCATTAATCTTTCCTTTATGCAGACCAGAGATAGACTCTTGAAATCGTTTTTTTCTGGTGCTGCATTGGCCTATTAGCTGTGGCTCTAGAATTACAAACACACATATCCCACACCATTACAATAACAAGACTCTAAACTACAATCACATTTGCGCTGAGTTTTTTAAAACCAGGAYTGAGTGTAATTAATCTCATTTCACAAATTAAGAAAGTGATCTAAAAGCCTGGCCGAATAAGTGGCAGGGTGGAACACTTCTCCCCAAATTTCTCATCCTTAATGCTTCGCTAGATGGGATCTGGGAGACTTCTCCCTCCCACGGGCTTGTTCAAAGCTATCTGGCTTGGCCTCTGCCCTGGGTAGGGCAAGAAAAGTCAGCGAAAGAGACTATTTTCTCCCGGCAGGCGCCAAAGTGAGGGCAATCCCCGCAGCAGAAAGCTCAGGGCCCCAGGCGCAATTCCACCCCCTCTCCCTTTCCTTCGATCTGCTCGGGTCTCCCCTACCCGGATCCCATTCCTTCAGATGACCAGGTCTTTCTCTTCCTGTACCCCACCCGGAGGGACCCCAAGCCCTGGAGCTTACCGCGCTCGGGCACTGCTCCCTCGGCCACGCCTGTCAAAGCTCGGCAAACATCCGGCTCTGCTGTGGAACGGGAACCGCCCCCTTCGGGTAGCCTCACTCCCCAACCACTTCCGCCACACCTCCAACCAGCTTCCGGTTCGCTGCCCGGTCTAAACATGGCCTTCCCTGGAGCCCGGTCCACTTCCCCGCACTGCCCGCCGAAATCCCTGCCTCGGGGAGGAACAACGTAACTGTCCGACTCCTGACTCCCCCGTTTCCGCAAGGAGGGTGATAGAACGCATTAGTTCCGCTTATGCAGATACTCGAATCCCTGGTGGGCCTCCAGAACCCTAGGTTCGTATTGTTCTCGGACAGAGTTTTTCCTTCCAACTACTCCCAAATTCCCGGTCCTGTGCACCAAAGAGGTCTGACTCTGGATTCTTTCCTAAGAGGAAATTTTTCCGGGAGGAGTTGAAATGAGGACGCTCACTTCCGGCGGAGGGAGGTGTTTTGATCTGGGATGGAGGAGGAGGAAGCGCCGCACTTGAATAGGGAGACTTTGCAGCCGGGTGAGTAACTTGCCATACCTACGGCCTTCAGCCCTGGCCTAAATGGCTCCAGCATTCTGTTCTCGTCTCTTTCCTCGTCAGTCCAGTCCTCTGAAGCCTGAGATCTTCCTCCGGCGTCCTCAGGGGCTCTCGGAGTCCTCGAACCCCTTCAAACCTCTCAGGGGCCACCTTAGAGCCCTTGTTTCTCCCTCCCGACTCCTGAGGCCTCGCTGAGCATGCAGTTTCCTCCCGCGTGGTTCCCAACGCCCGCATGGGCCGCTCCCTCATTGCTTTCCCGACTCTCTGCAGCCCCGGAACCGCGCCTGGACCCGGAGTCGGGATGGAGCCCATTCGAAGATTGTGCTCAGTGCCTCAAAGACTGCCCGCCTTGGGGGAGCCGGGCCATTCTCGCTCTAAAGAGCCTTCCCCGGGGCTTGGCCGTGGGTCCCTCACTCGCTCAGGAACAGCGTTTGGGGGTCTGGTGTGTTGGGGAACCCCTACAGCCAGGACTGCACTGGGACCTTCTGGAAGAAAAGGCTGTCTCCGAGAAGGGCGAGGAAGTGAAACGACAGCAGAAGGTAATGAGGGATGAGGCGACTCTGAAAATTGGGGGAAGATTTAGACATTTCCCCACGACCCTCCGGTTTGTTAGAAGCGAGTATTTTAAGCGGTTGGAGATGGTTGTGTGCCTTCTCAGCAAGGCTCTCCCTCCATAGTAGTTAAGGAATCAACGTGTGTAAAGTGTTAAAAGCTAAATTAGTGTAGTGTCAGCAGTGAACCAAGGTCAAGAGCTAAGGTTATTAGAATTTATCCCAACCTTGTCACCTAGCTAGCCAAATTATATACATCCTTTAACTCATCTGTAAAATAAAGCAGTGGCTTTCTTCAGGATTATTTGGATGACTAGATGAAATAGTGCAGTGCAGTAAATTGTTTAAGTCCATAAGTACTATTAAAAAATTATGTTCCTCTATTAATGTGTTCACTTTACTAATTTTCCACACCCTTGGGAGGGAAATACTCTTTGGTCTTTATTAACTGAATCAGCCCTTAGATGCAGAGGCAGCACCAGAATCTGCTAACTTTACAGAAACTTCATCTTAGATTTGTCCCAGGAGAGGTTTCATCTAGTTTGGGTCCTCCTCTCCCCAACCTGGCTTCCTTAAATACATGTGAGAATGACTTTTATTGGTTAATTTTAGGACCTGTCACTAGACCCATGGGGGGCAGTGTGTGCCTGTGAGCAGAGTTCAGGCTGGACCAGGTAAGTACAGAAGCATACATTCTTTTTTTTTTTTTTTTTTTTTTTTTTTTTTTTGAGAGAGAATTTTAATTTTTTTAGTTTTCAGCGGACACAACATCTTTGTCTGTATGTGGTGCTGAGGATCGAACCAGGGCGGCAGGCATGCCAGGCGAGCGCACTACTGCTTGAGCCACATCCCCAGCCCCAGAAGCATACATTCTGAATGTGCTCCTTTGAGGCTTTTTTTAAAGGCTTGGGATGGAATCTGAAGCTGACTATCTATAATCCCCTACCCAAGGATATTTTCCAGTGTGTTTTTCAAGGGCATGACCTCTGGGATTCACCCTTCCTGAGAGCTGGGGCTGTCAAGGAAGTTGGCTTGAAAAGAATCTGCTGAGCTAGCTCTTGATCTGCTTTGCAGTTTGGTGCAGCGGGGCAGGCTGGAGAGTGAGGGAAACGTGGCCCTAGTTCAGATCAACGAGAAGCTTCACCTGCAGGTGTACCGGGTTGTGCTGCCAGGCTTTGAACTTCTACTGTGGCCCTGGCCTCCCTCAGATGGCCAAAGCCCCACACAGCCCAGGCTAGAGGAGGAGGCACCTGTGGAGGTGCTGGCAGAAGAAGAGTCTGATTTACAACAACAAGTGGCCTCCCCTGGAGAGGATGCAGCAGACCCTTGCACAGGTATGGGTCACATAAATGCCTGCTTCCACATTCTCATCAAAATAACCTGTGATAAGACAAAGCAGAATTTATAGCTCAGTGTAGTAAGGAGAATACTAGAGTTGTATAGTCTTAAAATATGGTTTAAAGCAGGCCCAGTAGTGCCTATGATCCCAGCGACTTGGGAGGCTGAGGCAGGAGGATTGCAAATTCAAGGCCAGCCTTAGCAATTTAGTAAGGCCCTAAGTAACTTAGCAAGACCCTGGCTCAAAATAAAAAATAAAAAGGGCTGGGGATGTGGCTAGTGGTAAAGCAGGGAGGGAAAATATGGTTTAAAGTGAATCTTGCAGTGTGAGAAGGTGGAGCTTGATTAGGATTGAGAGTTTTCAGATGCTTCTGTTGGAGTGTGACAGGTCTTTCCTTGTAATGAACAGTAAAGATATTTATAACTTTTATCTTTCTTAAGAATTTCCTGGAATAATAAGGACATATCGATGAAAACAGTAAGCTGTATACAAAGTTTACAGTTTCATAATATTCTTGTCTCTGGGAAGCAGGCAGGGATTCTTTTTGTTTTACAGAAGAGCTCAGGTGGGGAGGTTGGGGGCTTGGATCACAGTCTAAGTGTGTGTCCCCAGGGGAGAACAGGAGGACCATACTCTGATGGCTTCCTCTAGGGATTAACTATATAGGTAGGGTGCTGTGGTTTCCAGGAGTACTTCCCCAGAGGCACCTGAGACTGGGTAGGAAAAGAGTGTACATACAGCTCATGTTTCAGAGAAGAGATTGGTATGATTGAACCCACTGAGGTTCAGGGACTGGGAGAAAATACATATCCTGTAATTACCTGTCAATATCACCTTCTACCAAGTTCAGTTAACTCCAGCACTCCATCTCTTGTTTTATAGATCTTGGTCACCAGTCACAGCACAGCATCCAGACAGAGAATGTGGTGAACTCTGAGCCTAAGTCCGAAGCCCAGGATCAGCCTTCCAAGAATACTCAACCTCTTGGCCCGTTGCTTCAGGATGGCAGTGTGGATAGTGTGGAGGAGGAGTGCCTGCTCCAGGCACAGATGCCACCTGAAACTCAGAGCAGCTTGGCCACCCAGCAGGGCACAGAGAGCAGTGAACCTGAATCTCAGAGAGGCTCCACTACCCAGATAGACTCAGAGAACTGTGAAGCCAATTCATCACCTTCTGCCAGGGGCACCCAGCTGCATGCCTGCCTGGCCAAGAAGTTATGTGGCCCCAATGATCAGTGCCCCCCCAGAGCAAAGACCTCAGAGCCCCGGGCCCAGCATTTCCCTGTACTCTTATGGAGCCCTGCTGGCCCTGCTGGAAATGCCCCAAAGCAGGGGCGACGGTACCGGTGTSGGGAGTGTGGAAAGGCATTCCTGCAACTGTGCCACCTAAAGAAGCACGCCTTTGTGCACACAGGCCACAAGCCCTTCCTGTGTACTGAGTGTGGTAAGAGCTACAGTTCAGAGGAAAGCTTCAAAGCCCACGTGCTGGGCCACCGTGGGGTGCGACCCTTCCCCTGTCCACAGTGTGACAAGGCCTATGGCACCCGGCGAGACCTCAGAGAACACCAGGTGGTACATTCTGGTGCCCGGCCCTTTGCGTGTGACCAATGTGGCAAAGCCTTCGCCCGCCGGCCCTCCCTGCGACTGCATCGCAAGACCCACCAGGTGCCAGCTGTCCCTGCCCCGTGCCCATGCCCTGTTTGTGGGCGGCTCCTGGCCAATCAGGGTTCTCTGCGGAACCACATGAGGCTCCACACAGGGGAAAAGCCCTTCCTGTGCCCACACTGTGGCCGGGCATTCCGACAGCGGGGCAACCTGCATGGGCACTTGCGGCTGCACACCGGGGAGCGCCCCTATCGCTGCCCGCACTGTGCAGATGCCTTCCCCCAGCTGCCTGAACTGCGGCGCCACCTCATCTCCCACACTGGGGAGGCACACCTCTGCCCTGTGTGCGGAAAGGCCCTCCGAGACCCACATACCCTTCGTGCCCATGAGCGCCTGCACTCAGGGGAGAGGCCCTTCCCATGTCCCCAGTGTGGCCGTGCTTACACACTGGCCACCAAGCTGCGGCGCCACCTCAAATCCCACCTGGCAGACAAGCCCTACCGTTGTCCCACCTGTGGCATGGGCTACACCCTCCCCCAAAGCCTCAAGCGGCACCAGCTTAGTCATCAGCCTGGGCCACCCTCCAATCCCCCCTCTATGCCTCCTGCTGCTTCTGAGCCCACCATGGTGCTCCTGCAGACTGAGCCAGAGCTGGACACGCGCAGCCCAAGTGAAGCATCTCCAACCAGAGATGTTGTTGTCACCATTTCAGAGAGCCAGGACCCTAGCCCCAACCTGGTGCTAATCCATAAGGACATGGGCTTTAGTGCCTGGGCAGAGGTAGTGGAGGTAGAGACAGGCACCTGACACGTGGGCCTTCTCCTCACAGCTCTCCATAAAGTCTAGCTCTACACATCTGCATCTTCTTTCTTTTTGGGTTGCCTGGTAGGATCAGAAATCTAGGATGGTCCTTCCTGCTTATGAACCATTGAACTGTCTCAAGATTGCCAGGTCAAACCTCTCCTGGTACTCTCCTTTTTGACTCCCAGGAGAACTTGCCCCTGCC